ATAAAATATTTGGACAAAAAGCAACACAATTAAAAACACATATAACAGACAAAGAAAACAAAAATAATTGAGCTTCATTTTTTTATTATAAGACAAGAGGGTTTACATACTTAAAAAATGTAAATTTCATATGGTATAAAACATATGCTATTTTAAAACTTGCAGAAGAGAAATTTAATACTAGCATCTCAAAATATGGAGTGGAAATCCCTGAAAGCCCTCAGTTTGAAGCTTTATAAAATAGTATTTTCTAGATCTTTCTGTAAGTGAAGGGAAAGATAAATCTAAGCCTAAAAATCTTAGACTGATGAAGGAGAATAACTGTTGTTTAGTTATCAGACAGGGTAGCTGTCATTGTCTTATGACAAAGAACTCCAAAGCTCTTGATTCCACACCAGCTAACACCTTGGGTCTCATTATAAGAAAGAATGAATTCAAGTCAGACTCAAGTGTAAAGTCACTCTGGCAGAGGGAAGCTGGCACATTTGTGGGTTTCTTAGTACCACTAAGAACTGTACCACTACTGCAGTTCATGCTGATAAGCATAGAACTCACAGCTCAATGCAAGTTTGTGATGTTTGTGATGTTTAACTGCTACACAATAGCTTCACTGGAGACAAGACTTCTTTCGCTTTCATTTATTTATTGTGCAACAGTCCATCACTGATCTTTAATCAAGCCTATTTCATTGGAATATTAACAATGACACAGCATTTTTTAAAAATATAGACTTTTTAAAAATGTGTATTTCTATTTTCATAATCACAGATGTGTATTCTTTTCTTAATAGTTTTTGATGGGCAGGGGGAACAAAAGGATGTTTTTAAGGGGTTTTGACTATAGTATTTAGGACATATAAGGGCTTGTAGCACCATTGGGTGACTGAGGTGGCTCAAAGGTTTGCAAAGTCCGAACAGCTCCATTATCTTCAGACCCAAACTCTGAAATATTTGACCTGGTTGGCTGTGTATTGCTGGAATTGGTCTCTGGGCCCCCTGAGCACTATTTGGGAGGCCACCCCTTAAACCAAACAAAGACATTTAAGAGGAAAACGATTTCATGTTGATATCAGTACTTCCTTAGTGGGAGAGTCCATGGATGTTTGTCTAACAAGGGAAGTGCTATGACATTAAATTAGCTGTGAGAACACAGCATACTTCGAGGAATATGAGTCACACAGATCTTGACAGATCCTGTTCTCATTGCTTGTAGGAATTTTGAGCACGTAATTTAGACATTACGAGGACAATGATGTACTGAGACTCCATTTAGTTCCTTTTCCTTTTCCCAAAATTTATGTCCCTATATTTAGAAAAATACAATACTACTGTGAACTTGGATATGTTGAAGAATATGTATAACTTAGATCACATTTAAAGGGATATATATATATATATATATTTATATAGTGTTTTAATGAGATGAAAACAATTCAATTAAACTCCAAAGAAACATTAAATCATAAAATTACTTTAATTAGGATTTGCAAACTTCAAAAGACTAAATTTATTCATATATTGAATTAGGATTTTAACAGACATGTATTTAAAAATTTTTTTTTCTTTTTGGGTCACACCCGGTGATGCACAGGGGTACTCCTGACTCATGCACTCAGGAATCACTCCTGGCGGTGCTCAGGGGACCAAATAAGATGCTGGGAATCAAACCTGGGTCAGTCACGTGCAAGGCAAACGCCCTACCCATTGTGCTATCACACCAGCCCTGAACTTTTACCAGAAGATATTCTTTTAATTTACTGTATGTATTAGTTATCAAACTAGAAGATTTTGAGCAACATTCACTGTCTTTACTAGCATGTGATTAAAAACAAATTCTCTTTCCTTTTCACATAGAATGAAAGATAAAATTATGGAGAAAATGTTAGTTTAATTTATTGACAATGAGGATCAGAGATTATCTCCTTAAAATCAAACTCAAATATGTTTTAGAATAAAAATTTAATTCCTCCAATACTTTGAAAATGGACAAACTGTTAGAATGCAATATAAATTACATTGATTATAAGTAAATTATATTGTGATATTTACTGATGCCATTTTATAAATGCATTTATAATGTCATTGATATCAATAAACTTGAAGAATTTATTGGTTCAACCCAAAATTTCTCAGGTAGAGATTTTTATTTTCCTTTGAGTCTAATGATAGATTGTTCAAGAGAGAAGATGCTCATAGAATATTAACATTTTAGAATTATTTATTTTTTGTGCAAACTCAATTCTTGTATGAAAATAAATCCTTATAATATCTCCAAATAAAGCAATACTAAATATGTGAGGTAGTGACTTAAAATGTCATTTAAGATATAGTTGTTTTTAATGAAAACATAGAAATTAAATTGTTGTTAAAATTAAATATACATTATTATTAGTTTCTAATATTGATGTTTTATTATTTTCTTTTATTGTTTTAACTATTTTCCTACTAACCAGTATGTTTCAAAGTTTTTTCTTGGAACACTAGTACTGCAAAATAGCTTGCATATTGGACTAGAGCGATAATGAAGGAGGTAATACAGTTGCCTTGCATGCAGCTGCGTTAGTTGCTACCTGTTCAAGTCTCTGACACCACATACCCTGAGCACAGGCAAGGGTCTGTTCTGAGCAAAGAGCTACGAACAGTCCTTGAGGACAACTGAGTATGGCCCCACCCTCCAAATTAAAAAAAAAGCTACATATTGAAGTCATTGTTATTTTATTTTAAAGGGGCTACTATTTTAGATGCACTCTGATTATATACTAATAAAATGGTACAATATCTTATATTTTATTAAGGCAGGGGTCACACCCACCAACTGGCCCCCTGGAGCTGTGTAATCCCATCAACGGCCAAGACTCAGAGACTATAAAACCCAGCTCCTGGGGGAGAACAGCCCAGAGTCTTCTGCCCCAGCGCCTGGCTGTCCTCACCGGGGACGGGTTGAGTTTCCCTCCCCGTTCCGACCAGGGATCCGGCAGCCAAAGACCTCCAGAACCAGTCACCACCATGCTGAGACCAATCTCCACATTCATGAAGGTACTGGCAGAGGAACAAAGGCATGTGGGTCCCGGGGCTGAGATCTCCAAGCTTGCTTGGATCGGAGCTGAGCATCCTCCACCCAGATCCTCCATATTCCAGTAGGCAGGGGTCACATCCACCAACAGGCCCCCTGGCGCTGTGTAATCCCATCAACGGCCAAGACTCAGAGACTATAAAACCCAGCTCCCGGAAGCACACAGCCGCATTTGTGACCGCACGACATCTGATCATCTCATTCCTACTTTGGACAAACTGGCAGACTACCAAATGTAACCTGCCCACACGGCAGACTCTGGCAAACTCCCCATGGCGTACCCAATATGCCAAACACCAGCAACAATGATGAGTCTCATTCTCCTAACCCTGAAAGAGCCTTGAACATGGCACTTTTTAAAAAATCTTAGGGCTAGGACAAAGGAGACGTTACTGGGGCCTGCTTGAGGCAATCGACGAACAACAGGATGGTCGCGATCGTGATCTTATATTTACATCTACATCAAAAGTGAGGAAAAGGAAGTAGGGCTGGTGCAATGTTAGTCATGGACTGCTACCACTGAGTTTGAGGAAAGAGTGCATGTTATTTATACTACACAGTCTACATTTGTGTGTATTTTACATATTTTAAAACTATTCCACCATCAAGTGATGAAACAAAGATGTGATCTCTTGGGAGTTTAGAGCACACAGAGAACTTCTGTGAGGAATTCTAAGTGAATGATTCATTTGTTTATGTGCACTATTCCAAACTTATTGACCATTGGACATGTGATGTAAAAGAACATCACTTGGCTTCCATCACATGACAGTTTTATTTACATGTTGAAAACCTTTGGATAGGGACCTGATAGAACCATTAATAGACTGAGTGCAAGCTTCGTATGCAGGAGGCCCTTGTGCGTAACCCTTGAGCGATCTGTAATCTTAAAACAAAAAACAAACAAAAACAAAGCCATTGAAATAAAAATGGGAAAAAAAGATAGAGAATTTTATATTATTTCTAACCTATGAGAGAACTAAGCTATAAGTGGAGCCTCTGATTTTTTAAAAATTTCACTAATATACAAGGATGATGTCACACATATAGTTAAAGAAAGTACTTAGAAAGTATGGCAGTTCATATTTTAAAAGGTCAGAAGCAATGCTTCATGATTGAAATTAGATAGCAATCTCATCACAAATGCATAATAACCAAATGGTAGTTTAAGTTTAAAAAGAAAAAATAGGTCATCACTAACTCTCAATAAATAATTGTATTTTTATCCTAAACTACAAAATTAAATCAGTTCTTAAATTCCATTTACATTTCGATGAATTATTTCTGACAGGGAGTTTATATTAGTTAGGTATATTTATTATTAAAATGTTTTATAATTTTAAAATATGATCCACACTTTACATAGTATGTTTATAAATTTGTATGTTCATAATTATACTTTAGTTTCTGTTATATTTTATTTTCTAAATAGAGAATGTGATTATTTTTCAAAATAAATTATAAATACCTTTTTTTAGTGAAGCATCTAAACTGCCTGTCATACTATTTATAGCTGCCCTTTCTTTCTAGATTGTTTTTAGACTAGCAAACTTTCTATTGTTGACTTTTATAAAAATTAAAACAAGAACATTTGCATTTATTACAATACACTTTCAAAAATTGCATTAATTTTCATTGATGCCCATTAATCTGATAAATGTTTTGTCATTTGTACTATTTGCACTGTCAAAACAAGTTAATTATATCTTTCTGACATTTTTGACAATTGCTGAAACTCTGGCTAAAAGGAAAGTAACTTGTTTGCCTCAGTAGAAATTTTCTCTTGTCAATTGAAAGTTTCAACTAAGCCAACCATCACATATAAGAAGCATTATAACATTTGATTTAGGATTGACCAATAATAAGCAATGGTTCTTCTGAACTCTCTTATAGAGACTTTATTATTTTAAATAGAAAATAGTATGTACCTGCATAATCTGTTCTTGCATAATGCCCATCTTCAGATTTAGTAGTTGTAGTTGTGTTATCTACATTAAAAAAATTAACAATAATGATTGGTAAGCATTGTCAAAATGCATTGTATCCACCTTATATTGTCTATCACTCCAACAATATCTTTATTGAAATTAAAAAGCCCAGCTGAGCTGGGTTCAATTTTTTCGCCCCTCTCGGAGAGCCCCGCAAGCTACCAAGAGTATCTTGCCTGCACGGTGAAAGCTGGCAAGCTACCCATGACGTATTCAATATGCCAAACACAGTAACAAGTCTCAAAATAGAGACGTTACTGGGCCCACTTGAGCAAATCAATGAAGAATGGGAGGATAGTGACAATGACAGTTCTAAATAATATTTTCAAAAAGACAGCAATCTCATCACAAATGCATAATAATCAAATGGTAGTTTCAGTTTAAATGAAAAAAACATGTCATCACCAACTCCCAATAAATAATGTTTATTCATTGGTCATCACTAACTCTCAATAAATAATGTTGTTTAAAATTAACAACATCATTTTCTGCTTGGAAAAAAGTAATAAAATACTAGTTTTCAAAAGTTTGGGGCAAGGATTTTCAGTTATAGCCAAGATAAGTTGGGTAAAATGATAAGTTAAAAACCCAAAACTCATTTTTGAATGGAAAACCAAATAGAGAATTGTGGTATCCACTGTAGTTAAATATATGCTTAAAAATTTCTATTGAACCAATACATAAAACATTAGATAACTTTGGTTTGCTTTTATACTCAAAGTTATTTAAGAAATATTTAAATTATTATGTATGATATATTATTTCAAATTTTTTCTCCAAGGATAATGTTTATCATTTTATATATATATTGGTCTCAGTGTTTGTAGCATTGTGAAGATATAATTGCATTATATAAAATAAGATATTTGCTATTACCAAAACCTCTGTGATCACAACAAATGCTACAATAGACTTTACTATCTACTATACTTCAGAATTATCATTTGAAAATAAAATAGCTTCCTAATAAGGAATTAATTATCTTCACTTTTCATTTCTAAACAAAGACTAAAAACATTTCTTGAAATGAATTTTTCTATAAACATTACCTTCGCATCGACCCAAAGACATGACTTCAATTTTCTCCTGTTTCTGACATGATGCTTCTTTGATTTGACATGCATTATCATAAGATTTCCCATCAGAAGCACAGAGGGGATTGAAGTTGGTTTGAGAGCAGTCAATGTTGCACACACACCTGAAGGAAGAGAGAAATAAAAATATGTAACATCAATAGTAGTGTTACCACATTATAAATAAAACACAAAGTAGAAGAATTGCTAAGTTGGCAAAAAGGCAAGTTGGCAAAACTGAATTGTATCCTTCCAGGAAAGTTCCTTCACTTTCTACCAGAGATGAAAGGAAACACAGAACTGATGAAAAACAATTCAAAAAAACTGAGCAATGGATAAAAAGTTAAAAAGGAAAGCTCAGAGAATACTCATCAGTTAATCTCTGTTACTAGAACTTTAGAAAACATGCACATAAACTTGTGTGCTGATGCCTGCAGAATTTGAATAAGCTGAGGTAGCCTTACAATTCTTCTTAAGTGAAATCTTTTTGTGTTATTAATTTTTCTCAGGATACTTGAATGGTGAAATCTTGAAGAAAATGAGTCAGAGGACATTTAGAATAAACAAGGAGATTATTTGAAATGCAATCAGAAGTTAAGCTTTCACATTTTGGAGATTGTACATAGAAAATGTTAAACAAGAATTTTCATTGGTCCTCAACATTTTGGGGGCATGAAGAGCCCAACGAGAATCAAATGAAGGCGTGGTTCTCTCACAATATCTATACTCGTAGAAGTAACAGTTTGCATTGAATTTTAGGGTTTTCCTTTTTGATTTGAAACTTGTATCATGTACTTCTTTCCCAGATATATACCATCATTTTTATACATCTAGTTTTAAATATTAAATAAAAATAGATTATCAGTTATCATATTTTTCTATAGCACATACCGGAAATTAGTGAATCCATGAGAAAACTAGGATTCCTGAAAAATTAAGTATTAGGTAACAAAGCTCATTATATATAATTTTCCTCACAATCTTATAATTCTTTGTGTTTTACAACCTACTAAGTATTCTGCACTGTTTTATATGTGTGAAAATGTCATTGTCAGAATATAAACTGACATATAAAATTTTTGCTTATATTAATTTTATAAGTATATACCTTTCTAAGCGGTGAACCACACATTTTATTTCTATATATTTTACCTGGATTTGAACATATCATATAATGATAACAATGGAAACCAGTTTGATCCATGCTGGGTTCTTAACATTCATTGCTTTATTTGATCTTCACAACAGTATTTTATAAACCAATGATATTGCATAAGATCAGGGAGCTAGTAAATTGCGGAACAAAGACCACCTATGGATGTGTTATAAAGTAAAATACAACCCTTTTCTCTCAGCACAGACTGTGTATTAGAATCCCCGGGGAGACCTTTTAAATATGCGATTTATAAGTAGGTTTCTGGGCCCCAGGGAAGCCAGAGGAAGAGCCTAACATTATAAATTTGTAAGCAATCAGTCTGGCACCAAATTCAGAATTACTGTTTGATCAATTTGTTGACTGAATAAGAGAAGGTTTATAACTATCCAGTGCTTCTCAGAATGTTGTCCTTAGACCTCTGTAACAGAATTACCTAGATGCTGGGCACATAACTCAGAGACAATGTATCTGTCTCGTTTGTGAGTGGCCCTGGATTCAATTTCAAACATGGAAAGAAAAGAAAATGCTACAGAAAATGTGCTAATGTGTCTTTTTTTTATTATTCAGTCTTTTATTTTGGTAACATAACTGCTGTAGGAATGCATGGTTATTTTTACTTTCACCTATTTAGGAACCAATAATGAGGGCAGATGGTAACCAGCTTAAAATGCTTAAGTCACTGAAGTGTGGTTTTCCTATCTGGGTTGTGATATGCCATATGATGACAGCCACAGGGATTATGGCATTGCAAACTGGGCTGATTCTTGGCATCTGAAATATCTGAAACCAGGAGCTACAGAGATGTCTGAAGAGCTTTTGATCTTTCCATGGTGGACTTGGAGAAATGACATTGTAGATCAGTCTTTCTCTTATTAACCATTGTATTAAGGAGGAAAAGCAGTTTGCATTTTGAAGTAGGTTTTATTTACCTTTAAGCCAGTTTAGATTTAGCTGTTGTTTTAGACTCCAGGATTATCTCCTTAAAAGATACTAAATTATCTATTAACATTTGAAAAATAGAGATTTCTCGTATCTATCCAAAGGGTAAATTATGTAAAACTTCAAGGATTTATACTCTCTAAATTAAGTCCCAAGAGATTTCGGATGCATGCATGATTGTCACAAAAGCAAAAACAAAACAAACCAGACTGGAAGTTCAGAATTCTATATTGTGTCATCATAAAATGGTAGGATTGAGGCAGAGAGAGAAAGAGGGGCCAGGTTGCAGGGAAACTGGCAACATTGGTGGTGGGAAATGTGCACTGGTGAAAAGATGGGTGTTGAAACATTATATGACTAAAATCCAATCAGGAACAATTTTGTAACTGTATATCTTACTGTAATTCAATTAAAAAATGATGACAAGCTCTCTGTTTGATGGACCAATAAACAGTAATTACATAACAAATAATGGTGGGATGATAATAGATATGGAAAAATACAAACTGGATTAGTTGAATGGCCCAGATTTAAAGGTTCAATAAAAATTTTCACTGAATTTAGCACTAATTCAAACTAGTGAATTCAGAATAGTTTACAAGATCATCCTTTTCCTATTAGCTGTTGTTTTTCAGTTTTACTAATTTGATCTAATATCATATGAATTGCTAGCTTTTACTTCTTGAGTATTTCTCACTCAGGACATCCTTCTAAGATTTATTTTCCTTTGTTGCAAATTTCTGACTTTTGTCAGTCAATGAAGACTTTAGTGAATGGGTTTAACAAATATAGAAATTTGGCATTTCTATTCTTTCTCTTTTTTACTATTTTTGTGCTATACCTGACTGTGCCCAATTCTTATTCTTGGTTGTGTGACCAGGGATCATTCTTGGCAGGGCTAGGGTACCACCTGCAGTGCTGGGGATCATTCAGGTCAACCATGCACATGGCAAGGACCTTACTCCTCTTACATCTCTCTGACCCCAAACATTAATTTATATTCTCATCACAAAAGGATGAACATATATTATAGTGATAATAATAAAAAGGAGGATCTAGATTCTTGAGGTGAAAGTAAGTTATAGTTTGCTGGGATATAAACTTCATGAAAGCATGGATTATACTTATATGGTTATCTAATATAATATCATCATTATGCCTCCTACTTCCTTCCTACTCTTATGAACTGGCATGTGTTAAATAAATGCATGAGTATAATAAACAGTTTTGCTTATGAATTTTAGCAATCACTGCAAACTAGAAGACTATGGAAAAATGCAGGTTGTTTTTTGGTATTTAAATTTTTCAGATGTTTGCTGCTCCACCACCCCAGTTGAGGTTTGCCTCCAGCAAATATCACTGAGTTGGTTCCAACTGGGAGAAGAGCACTAGTGGGAGTCAGAACCTGTCCGTCTGGGTGAGTCCCAGCAGTCTCCACACTTAACCTACGCCATATATGGTCCACACCACAGCTCCTTCCAAACTTTCTGCTTGCTGCTCCACCATTCCAGGTGTGGCTTATCTCTAACTGGTACCACTGGGCTTATTCTGAATAAAAGGCAGAGCTTGAGCTGAAGGCAGACCCCTTCCTCCCAGATGGGTCCCAGCAGCCTTCATCTCTGCAGTGTGCCCACAGGTGTACACACAGGTACTGAAGTGCATGGTGGCTGTGTGGCTGCAAGACAGATCTACACAATAAATAATATGCTACTCACAGTTATTCTTCCTGTCATTCTGTGAGGATGGGAAAAGAAGTCAGAGAGCAACAATCCCTCAGAACAACCCCTAGCTTAATTCCTCAGTACTTTTCAGTGGGGTAACTACAAAAAAACTCAGCTCACAGCATAGCAAGAATACCAGAAAACTAAAGGGGGAAACACATAGAAACTCATCAAGTTAAATGAGCTAAAACAGTATTGGCAAAAACTTTAGCAATACCAATAAATTCTTAGACAGTGTCTTTAGTGACACTATGATGAGGATGTTTAGTGAACTCAAAGAAATTATAGCACAGGAACTCAGCAAAGCACAAGAAAGTGTGGAGTGTGAAAATGAAAAAAAATGTACATTCAGAAATGACTGAAATGAAGAGCATGTTAGGTGATATAAAGTCAACAGGAGCTTTGAATAGCAGAATTATAGAAGTTGAACAAAATATTGCAGAGCTCCAAGATGAGAAGGAGGAAACTTATAGGAAAGAGCCAAAATTGAAAAGAAAAATCCTGAAAAGAAATGAAAAAACACACCAGATAAGTATGGGGTGAGTTCAAGAGGAACCATATAAGAATCATGGAAGTCCCTGGAGAATAGAAAAGTAAATGTGATGAATAGTTAAATAAATCATCAACATGAACTTGCCTGTGTTGAGGCATCGAGATCCAAGAGATCTAATGGATTCCAGTGAAAATGGACCCAATTAGGAAAACTCAAGATACATTATACTAGAATTACAAAATACAAAGATAGATACAGAATATTGACAGCAGCCAGATCAACAAAGAACTTAAATGTATATAAAAGCCCATCAGATATATAGCAGATCTATCAAATGAGACTCTGTAAGCCAGAAGAATATGGAAGGACATAGTACAAAAGCTCAATGAAAGGAACATCTCACCAAGAATACTCTATCCAGTTAGGTTATCATTCAGACTTGATAAAACTATATAGGATTTAATGGACAGTCAACAGCTTAGGGGAATTCAGTCTTGAAATCAGTTGTGAAAAATTCCTTTAAAGAATAGAAGAAACTTCTTATTATGTGGCATAGAGTATGGCGCTCACTAACGGTACATATGGTTGTCCTCTACTAGATTAAAAGATCAACAATGTATAGCAATTCATCATCACAAATTTACATTTATTAATTTATTTTTTAATAGTTCTACTGGTCATACTTTTTAGGTTTCTTTTGAAAAACTTAATATGAAATAAATTTGTTATATGACTGATACGAGGGGTTGGGAGTTTCATTTTGAGAAGGAAGATGTGATAATTACCTTAATAAGATCCAAGTTCAAAATTAAATTT